CCTCGCCCCCTTCTCCCGAGGGGCGCTAATGACCGCGGCCCGCTAGGTCCGGCCGCTGCGACGCCATGGACCTGGGACCCGCGACCGGAGCTAGAGAGAGGAAAGACTGAAATATTTCAGTTAAAAGTCAAAGCCTCAACAAAATAGAAACATTTTTATTGCAAGGTGAAAAGTTTTTTGTGAATCTCAATCTCTAGTCGGAGATGGTGTACTCGCGACGGGCGGTTGGTGGAAAGCTTCGTTTTTTTTCTCTCCTTTTTTTACGGCATGCCTCTAACATCATGTCGCGCTGTTTGCTGCCTGTGTCTGAATGTGTGTGTGGCGTGTTGTTGCAGGGCCAGCAGGGCCAGGGCGGTGGCGGCGAGAAGGCGCGCAGCCCCAGCAATCGCAGGATGGACCGGCTGCGGCGCAGCTTCCGCGACAGCTTCCGGCGGCGCAAGGAGCCCTCGCTGCCGGAGAGCTCCAAGCCGCACCAGTGGCAGCTGGACGAGGCGGCGGTGCGCGCCGGCACCTGCTGCTTCCACGTCAAGGTGAGTGAGGAGCGACTCTGCTGGACCCCGCAGCATTGCGTGGAGGTGTGTCTGACCGGCGTCTTTCTGTTTGCAGTACATGGGCTGCGTGGAGGTGTTCGAGTCCAGGGGGATGCAGGTGTGCGAGGAGGCCCTCAAAGTCCTCAGGGTGAGTAACCGCCTCGCTCCGAGCATCGCTCGCTGTGCGGCGGCGCACGTAGGCACCAGAGTCACGCCGTAACGGGCCGCGGACGAGCGGACGGCCCGCCGCGGATGAGTGTATACCGTCGCGTCGCGGGCCGTGACGAAATACAACGAACTCTGCCGGATCAGCCGAGAGGAGGGAGCAATTTACTCACGTCCACTCGGCAGTGTGTGCTTGTGTGTGCAAGTAACACAGAGAGGGGGGGTGGGGACGCAAGACACTTACGTCCGATGCTCTTGCGGCGCGGTGCGGAGCGGGAGAGGAGGTGCGAGATGCCGGTCCGGAGGGAAGGCCAATTTGTCGTAATGAAGGCAATTACACCGTTGGACGTGCGAGAGAGAGAGAGAGAGGGAGCGGCCGCGCCTCCTCCCGACGGTGTAACTGTGCTGATGCCGCGCCTTTATCGCGAGCTCGTCCCGCCCCGCGCGGGCCGGTCTGGCCTGACCTGACCCAAAACAGCCAATCTGCTATGCATTGCCGCCGCTGGGGCCCTCGCGCGCGACCCTCCCCTATTACAGCCCGGTCGGTGGTTCGGCGGTGAGGTTGTTGTTGGACACAGACTCACACCGTCCTGCGCGCCGCCGGGCCGGGGGTGGCCGGGGGCGGCAGGGAAGGGCCTCCCCCGATGCAAGTGCCTCAGGTGCCCCCTCCCCCTCCACCCCTCCCCTCCGCGTTCGATCCGGCCTGGCTCACTCACCCACCCTCTCTCCTCTCTGGTGCCCCACCGCCCCGCCGAGCACGCGGCTTACTTCGGCCCTGGCTTTGCCGCATTGTCGTCCGTTTCTCACGCTGCCCCATCCCCCTCCTCTTTCATATTTTTCTCTTCTCACCTGCTGCTATGTCCTTTTTATTTTTATTTTTTTCAAAATCTTTTCACAACTTTCTCTTGTGGGGGACTGGCGGGTGTTTGTGTGTAGGTACCCGCCCGTGTACCTGCTCGGCCAGCCCCGGGCCAGCCCACTCTGCATTAGCAGCGCCATTTCCCTGCGGCGATAGAACCGCGGCGAGGAAATTGTGTCGGGAAAATGGAGGAGGATGGCCGAGGATGGCGTCATTGAGCACGTCCGCACCAACCTCAAACCCGACCCCTGCCCCCTCCCGTGTCCCACACCACGGGGTAGATGAATGTTTGAGGGGATAAACTGGGCCGAGCCCGGGGCCAGAGGTGGGAACGCCCGCCCGCCCCTACCGCCACCACCCTATCCTATCGGCATCGGCCAGCCCCTAACGGCCCGCCGTCATGCCAGCGCGGCGGCTGTGCTCGGGCATGTCGAACTCGACCTTGATGCCGCTGCTGTGTTGTTGCAGAACTCGAGGCGGCGGCGCATCCGCGCCATCCTCTACGTGTCCGGAGACGGCCTGCGCGTCGTGGAGGACGAGACCAAGGGCCTGATCGTGGACCAGACCATCGAGAAGGTGTCGTTCTGCGCGCCGGATCGCAACCACGACAAGGGCTTCTCGTACATCTGCAGGGATGGCACGTCGCGGCGATGGATGTGCCACGGCTTCCTCGCCCTCAGGGAGTCGGTAAGTGAGCGCCGCGGTGAGCGCCGGCCGCAGCCCCGCTCCCGCCCGCGGCCGACCGGGCCGCCCGCTGACCATGCCGCTGACGCCGAGGGTGTGTCGCAGGGCGAGAGGCTGTCGCACGCCGTGGGCTGCGCGTTCGCCGCCTGCCTGGAGCGTAAGCAGCGCCGGGACAAGGACTTCGGCGTCACCATGAAGTTCGACCCCAAGGACTCTACCTTCACCCGGTCGGGGAGCTTCAGGCAACCGTCCCTCACGGAGCGGCTCGCCGACCCGCAGGAGCTGAAACCTGCCGGTGAGTACGCCCCCGCCCCACACACGCCAGGGCACCGCGTCCCACAGCGCCTCACCCCCACTCACCCGTCGCGGAGGCACCTCGACTCGGTGTTTGTGTTGTTGTCGTGTGTGTGTGTGTGCACCGCACTCACACATCTGTACGTTATTTTGTGGTTTTGTACCTCCATTCCGCATCATGCCCACAGGTCCAACTGGGTGTTGTTGACCTCGCCTCTGTGCTGCTGTCGAGTTATCTTCGTAATAACATGCTAAAGAGGATCGCTGATGACGTCAAGTTCAACTTTACGACGCTGTGACCCCTCTCTCTTTCTCAGCCTTTTCCCACTCTCTCGCTTGCTTTGTCTCTCTTCTGTTTCTCTTTGTGGTCCGTAGGTGCGTCCGCGTGTCCCCGGCCCAGGGAGACTTTCCTCTTCCTCCTGCTGACCTTGTGGTTTGTCTTTTTGTAGCTCCGTTCCTGTGGGAGGTGGCTCGCCCCTCCGCGGCAGAAATAGCCGCCATGCCCGCCGCTCCCCTGGAGCCCGCCGACTCGATCGACCCCCTGGACCCCCTGGCCCCGCAGCCCCCTCAGCCCGCGCAGCCCCAGCTTCAGTCACAGGCTTCGTTCGAGTTCGAGGCGGTGCTGGCTCAGATGGCGGCTGCAGGGGGCAGGTCGTGGCCGGGGTCGGGCCCAGGGGCTGGGCCGGGGGCGGTGCAGGCCCAGGGGCAGCCCCCCGCGGCCCCCGTGGCCTACACGGGCCCCGTGGCTGGGCCGGGTAAGCAGCATGCTCGTCTTGTAGCGTCTGCACGGGGTTCTCTTGTGTTTAGCCTGGCCCTGAGGGTCCCCCAGGCTCGGCCCGGTGGGCACCCCTTAGGGGTGGTCGCGCTGTTGTACATTGCATCTGTCTGCACCTTTCGGTTGCCACCGCGGATTGGACGGATACATAGTTTGCTTAACCGAACTGGACCAATGGGTTATTTTGTCATCTTACGCATTCTTCGCTTACGAACCCTTGAGGCTCGCTGGGGTTCTGGGGTTCTAGGCCCCCGCGCATTACTGCAGCTCGTAACTTTTCGAGCGTGTTTTTTTTTTTAATTCATTTTTTCTAAACTTTTTTTGTCCGTCCTGTCTGTCTGTCTGTCTGTCTGTCTGTCTGTCTGTCTGTCTGTCTGTCTGTCTGTCTGTCTGTCTGTCTGTCTGTCTTGTCTATCTCTGTGCCATATCTGTCTACCCTTCAGTCTTCCGTCCTGCTTGTTCCTCATCCTCTGCATTGTTATTTTTGTTCATTTTTGGTTGTATTACTTTCAGCAGAGTTTTTGTTTTAGCATGTCTGAAGCGCCTTGTGGGAATTTTGTACCTTCCTGAGAAAAGAACTCCACCCTGTCATCGCACCTGTACTGTAGTTCTAGCGCACATTAATTGACCCTACCATTGGCAAGGAAGTGCAACCTACTGTGCCTTTGTTTTGTTTTTAATTATTTCTCACAAAATGCCACGTCATTGCAGTTTGTATTTTCGATTTCCGGACAGTTGCATTGCCTTGTGATGGTCTCGTTCTGATTGCGACGATGGACGTCAATTATTAGAGCAGGGTGTGCACTGTAATTATGAACCGCACTGCAGTCGGGTGTATGCTTTTGTAACTCCTTTGTCCAATGCCTTTGTGTACAGCTTTTTCCACCCAAACTCATTGGCCCACAAACGCTGTTTCTTTTTGAAATCCTTGTCCCTGTCATGTGTTTCTTCTCCATGTGTTTGCGTGTCAGCCTGCCCTGCCCTCACATTGTCTAGTCGTAGCGCCGCACCCCCGTAGCGCGCTAGGCGCCCTGCTCGCCCGTGAACTGACCCCGCTCTCTGGTTGCAGAGCCCGTGCCGCCCGCGCCCGCGCACAAGGCGGGCAACCCCTTCGCCATCGAGCGGCCGCACGCCACTGTCTCCATGCTGCAGCGGCAGGGCTCGTTCCGGGGCTTCTCGCAGCTCAACCAGGCGTCGCCCTTCAAGCGTCAGCTGTCCCTGCGGATCGGCGACCTGCCCTCCAACCTGGAGCGGCAGCGGTCCCTCAGCCTCGCCAGCGAACCTTCCCGGCCCCAAGGTGAGTACTACTACTAGGCACCAGCGCAGGGAGGGGTGCGAGTCCATCAGGTCAGCCGCTCAAGCCCCGGCCGAGGCAGGGTCCGTCACGCGGCAGACAACTTTTGCTCAGAGCGTTTCTTGATTTCCGCCAGCAGCAGGGGGACTGGTGGGTCTGGGGGGTCTCGGCGGCGCGGGGGCGAACGGCAGCGCGGACATCGCGCCCGCGCCCGCCCCCCGCGGCGCCCTGACGCCTCAGAACCCAGGGCCGCCGCCGCCGCCGCCGGGGCGTCGCCAGCGACTCATGTCCCTGCCGAACGCCAGCAGCGTCCAGGGCGACACGAGTGAGTCGAGTCGTGGTTTGTGTGTGTGGACAAGTGTGTGTAGTGTGACCCCGGCTTGGTGTACATATACATAATACATAGGGTCTCTGCCGTGGAACGCATTGCACTATCGCTGGGGTCGCGGGCCCCTCGGGCTGCCGAGGAGGAGGATCGCGCCGGTTGCCGCCGGGGTCACAGCCCCTCCCTCCCCGCCCGCCGCGGCACTTCCCTGCTGGTTGAGAGTCAGCTGGGCCCCAAATTATACCAATCAGGTGGCGGCTGCGGCTACACTGAGCCTCGGCGCGACTCCTCCTCCGAGGAGCACATCTAGGGAGCAGAGAGCACAGGCCTCCGCGCCTCCGCCTGATGACATCGTCGTCTCGCTGTAGTTGTAGTCTTTGGGACCCCCTCGCCGTCTGTTCTCTCTTTGCTCGCTCGTATTTTTGCCCCTCCCCTCTCCCCATATTTTTGTATTCCTCCCCCCCTCCCCTTTCTTCTGAGATGCCCGACAGACAAGGGCAAGTCGTTTCCCACCTCTAGATGACTCCTACCCCCGCACTCTTGCGCATCCCGCGCGTTTGAGTCTCCAGTCTGTCTGTCTTCTCTCTAGGACTATCTGGACTGATCTGGACCGATTTTCGTGTTGCCGTTCAGTGTTAATGAGTTGGCTTTGCTTCCTCACATCTTCTATGTTACTATTGGGTTTTATTTTACATTTACCTGTGTGTTTTTGCGAGATAACTTGAGTGTTGTTTTTTTAAAAAACCGCTACACGTTTTGCTTTCTTTAGCACATCTTTTGCTGAAGATCAGCCCCCAGAGATTTCCCCTGTATAGACAGCATATGTACATATTGTGTACATTACGTCCTCTGGTTTTCTGTTGCTGTGTTTGTATTAATGGCAGTCTTCTTTGTGACTTTTGCAGTGAGCCCCATCCCAGAGTCCTCCCCTCTGGCTAGTCGCGCGGGGCCTCCCGCAGCCTCCCCCGCCCCCGCGCTGCCCCCTGCGGACCCAGTGAGTGCCATGTGCCAACAGCTGTCTCAGGGACTTCTGCTACTGTCCTCGACAGACGACTTTGGGGTGAGTACATTGATGCTGCTTGGCGTATTTTTTATTTAAGTTGTTTTCCAGTTGGGCAGTTTGTAAAACCGTCTTTCTCGTGTTGCAGCTTGACCTAACTATGAAAAACAACAACAACAATAATCTAAGTTCCTCCAACGGCCTGTGGACGGGACCTGGGACGGGCGCACCTACCACCGCTGCACCCGAGGCCAAGGACCCCCTGGCGTGGACGAACACCTCCCTGTGGCCGCGTTCGGATGTCCCCGCCCCCGCCACCGCACCCTCCCCCGCCCCCGCCCCCGCCGCGCCGTCACCGCCACCTGCCGCCGCGGCGCCGACGGTCGTCCCCGTGCCCACCAAGGACTTGCCCCGACCCGAGCAGTGGCTAGGGAAGATTGCGACGGTTGTCAAGCCCCCCGCTCCCGCCCACTCGGGCGCCGCCCCTTCACCAGCGCCTTCACCCAGGAGAGCGGCAATGCTCGGACACCACTCAAGAGCATACTCGCTGGGCTCCGCCGAGTCCTACATGGGCCGTATGAATGCCAACGGGCATGGCGCTGGCACCGGGACCGACCCCTTCGACGCGGACTGGGCAGCCACAACAGGTGGCCACCCCGTCGTACCCGCCGCGCCTGCGGCCAGCACAAACCCCTTCCTGGGCGGGCCGGTCAAGGCGTTCGAAGTACGGATGTGACGCTGAGCTCGATCATGATGTCACTCTGACTGGAAGGGAGGTCTGCTGCTGGGCCTGGGCTGGCCTGGGCTGGCCTGGCCTTTCTCGTAGGTAGGCTGTACTTACTAGCCGGCTGTGCGTGTGAGCAGGGTGTGCCCCCCCGCTTGCACACAAACATATCTATATCTATATATTTTTGTATATATTTGTTGTAAGAAACAAACATCTCAGTGAGGAGGGTCGAGACAAGAACCATACCAGATGTGGTGTGGAGGACTAAAGACTATGAGAATGAAGGAAGGGTATGGGTAGTCCAAATTAAATAATTTGAAATCATTTGTGAGGGGAGGGGGGGTATTTGTTGGTTGTACTCTGTTGGCGGACTTAATTGTTGAATGTGTTAATGTGATACCATAAAATAAGTACTTAATCTGGTAGGTAGTGCAGGTAGCTCATTACTGCCGGTATTTCTCGGTACTTTATTCCTTTAGTATTGGTTGTGATGGTACATTAGACGTGCCAATAGCATTATGGAGTGCCTGCGCCGTAATGCAGTCTCACCTTGTTTTTCTGTACTTCACTGTTAATTTGCCACATGCTACATGTTCTTTATATCAGTTTAACTTTAATCTCCCCCAATATTAGAATATGAAGATGCCTGTATCTAACTTACCTTACCATATATAAAACTTTACATATGTATGTATGTATGTATGTATATAAATATGCATATACACATTGAAATATATATATATATATATATATGTATGTATATGTATGTATATATATGTATACATACATTATTCTATAGATATTTTAAGAGAGGAATGCGTGTTTGTATGTGTAAAAGTAAAAATATTCTTAATACATTACTGCTGCAGTCGTTATAAATTCAGTAAATGCAAAATTTTAATTGTCACAAAGGAAAGGAGGCTGTGCCCACCTTACACATATCCTTAAATATGTCACTCACATTTTGCTTTGAGTGGTGTAATCTTTATTTTATTTTTGTAACTGAACCTTTTTTGTTGCTTATGGCTCTGTACTTTAATCGTATTCTTTATGAGAAATTTATTAAGGTGTTACATGAAGTGTTATTAAATTATCAATAGCATAAAACTCTACCATACATATCATTCAAACATTCTGACAAAACGTTATTGAAATTATAACCAAAAATTTTATTTGATACTTAGTTGAATTTAGCAAGCAAAAATAACGTGTTCACTTATGAACCAATGAGTTTGAAAATGTAGTCTAATGTAGTTTAGGCAGTCAGATGAGATTTGCTAACTTCTACATTTTCTCACCAAGAATTTACCAATGAGGCTTCTACTTTTAGACCTTATAAATTGCCACATCTGTATGGCTGAGATCTAAAAGAATACCTAAAACATCTTTGGAATATCAAGATATACTGCTAAACTTCAAAATGTGCTTCATGGTTTACTGTAGAACTGTACTTTAGGTAGCAAGATGTTATTGCTGACTAGGGATCAAACTTCAATGTAAAAATTCCAAAAACCAATGGATTAAAAACACCATTCATTTATGTCTCATGTCTCTTCCTCTAGCTACCCTCTATCGTCAGGCAGCAGGCATAGTGCTGACAGACAGGCATAACAACACCCCTGGAACACCCCATCGTCTATCCACACACACTGTACTCGGAGGTTCCGGTTTCAATCTCCTCTACAAGTCCCTGAATCTGAGACAAATGCCCACATACCTAGTCAATAGCAAAAAAAAAAAAAAAGCTTTTGAGAAGAGTAAAGTTTATTGGTCCACTTGTGCTCTCCCATTCAAGTTTGAAAAATATCATCAATTGACATTTACAATAAATGTCTTCTGGGCAGTTTCAGATGGATGCCAAGTGGGTGCTGATTGTGTAGATTTAATTCCTGCTGATCCTTCAGATTCTGATGAGACCACTGACGAGCCAGCAAGAAGAATTTCCATCATACCTTCCAGGGAGGCTAGATTTTGAGTAAATGTAACTTCATCTTTGGCACGGACAGAAAGCCTCTGGACCATTTGACAAACATCAGGAGGGAATTTATCCCATGAATCACCATAAATATCTGGAATAAGATATAGAGCACAACATGTTAAGTCAAAAGGTAGCAATCCACAAACAAATTTAGAGCACAATGCTTCTTACCTAAAAGTACATTGGATACATCTGTTACTGTTCGTGAGTATCTATAATCCCCAATATATTTAACAAGAAATCTTAAAATTGCCAACAGAGATTTAGCATCTCTTCCAGCTAAAGCTGTTTGTAACCCTTTCCTCCTACAAAAGAAGACAATAATGAAGCCTTTCATAAGACAAAACTTTACAAAGCATTGGAACATTAACATACCTCATTAATTCTTGTAATACAGATACAGTGACATGTGGGTTTTTGTTCACTACATAAGGTAGAAGAGCACTATCTAATGCTTTTGAATATTGGAATTTGCGTAAAAATGTATCACTCTTAGACATTGTATCAGCATTTGCTTCACGCACAACAACGTCAGCTGTAGGAAATTCTCTTTGGTCACTCACATATCTATATGAGACCTTATGTCTTTCTCGTTTGGATGGGATTTCTTTTGTCTCACGTCGACTAACTGAAACTAAGCCATCGACCATTCCTGCTACTACAGTTTCATCATCAGCCTAAAGCAAACATTACAAATGATAGAATCCATTAAAATTAATAGAATGTAAGTAGAAAATGCTTAAACAAAACAAAAACTTACACTTGCAGCAACACTGAGGATGGCATTTGGATAATCTAAAGTATGAACAACTTGGTAAGTTGAAACATCATAAATCTTAACATGTCGGTCAAGTGATGATGAAAGTAATCGTTTACTTCCAGATGCTAAAGAAAGACATGTAACTGTCTTATGATGTTGCGATATTTTGGCTAGTAGTCTCCCACCTGCTATAGCATCCCACACTCGAATCTCAGTTCCTCCTATAAAATTTAATAATATTTCTTTTAAACAAGCCAAAAAAGTAGAAAATATTTATGGGTATTGAGTTAGATAGAAAAAATGACTCACCTGCTGATAAGAATATTCCACCAGAAGGTAGGAACAGGACACTTTCTACAGGCGAGCCATGGTCCACAGTTAACACTTGGGTACTGGTACGGGTGTCATACAATCGAACAGATCGATCATAACTGCCAGATAAAACAACATCGGGGGATGAGGGGCATACAGCACCAGCTCGAACATAGTCCTGTAGAGAACACCAGAGAAATGTTAGCCAAGGGTGGAAAGCAGAACCTATACAGTTTTTAGGATAAATATGTCACCTGATGATCTGAAAATATTGAAAGCTCTTTTTCACTTGGTATGTCCCATAGACGGACAGTTTTATCATCAGAAAAACTCGAAATATGAGTGTTATCCGGGGTAAAAAAACACCGATGAACTGGCCTGTAAATTAAAAACCCCTTCAGAAAAACATTACAGACAATAAAATAATAAAAACAAGATTTTGAATGCAGTAGTCCATTGAATAAAAATATCTGGATAATCTACTTACGCTGAATGGCCTTTGAATACTCTCAAGGGTGTTTTAGAGCTGACATCAAACATTCGAACAACTGCCTCTTCACCTCCTGCACAGAGCAAACGACCATCTGATCGGAAAGAACCACCGTATGCTGCCTCTCGAAATCTGGACAAGTTTTTCCATACTGTTTTTGTTATAGGGTTGTATATTTGAACCTGAATCGAGCTGACAGATTAATAAATATGTTCTCTCTGACAACTGCCTCTGTTTAGGCAAGCAAATATACAGATATACTTACCCTGACAGAGCATGTTACAGCAAAATGATATGGTTCAATTGGAGAAAAATTAATATAATCCACAGGTCCAAACTCCTTTAACAGAACTGGTACCTAAGGAGTTTGGAGGAAAAAATATTAACCTCAAAACACAAAATCACATGAATAATGTCATTAGGAGCTTTGGAAGAAAAGTAGGCGATAAAGCGACAATTCAGTTTAGTGAAGAAATTTACTTGGAAACTTTTAGAAAAGAGCTTACAAACGAAAATTACAAAACCCAAGATAAATGGTTTCAGCACCATGTGGTGAGAGGTAAACAAGCGCCCCAGCGGTAAATATATCTTGAAAAACAACGGTTGTCATTCACATTAATACAAGATCTCGAATTGTATGGATTATCTTACCCCAAATTGTTTCCAATAAATGTTATCAGGTGTTAACTTCTGTTCATTTTTAGAATAAACTTTAACATTTGTCTTCTTAAATGCCGACATGTTGACAACGTTCTTCTGAACTCCAATGCACCACAAGTGCAAATACAGCTCGGGACCTTAAATGCAGGCCCAACAAGTAGAGAATCGAAAACACCGCAAATTGGCTTACAATTTGTTTAACTTTGTGTCAGCATTATGGAAGACAAAAGTAAAGTTATTTGTGAAGCACTAGATCCATCGACTGGCCTTTTTATATCAATGGCTCTACTTCGAGATGTGAAAAATGCAAAAGACCTAAAAGAGAAGGTTATGTCAGGTGCCTTGAAGTGTGCTATTATGAAACCATCTCTAATTGTTGATCCCTTCCAAGTTATCGTTGCTGCCAACAAAGCTGCCGTCAGTTATATTAATAATAAAATGGTGACGAAGAGTATGTATACGGAGTTATTGTTTAATCTCTCAATATCGAAGAATATTACACAGTCTCTGGTAAAGTTTGGCATTCATGAAAGTGATGACGATGTCTTTATAGCAACAATTCACAAGAAAAATGAATCAGGCATTTTGGAAATTTTATCAGAAATTTCTGGTGAATTGGTGCCTTTGGTTGAACTAAAAAATTTGTTTGATAGTAGCCTTATTTGTAAATCATATAAACTTAGTGAATTTGAGAAAAATAATTCACTTATACTAGACTCCATAGTGAGCCGGATAGCAACCAGTGACTTTGTTACTTACTAAAATAACTGCACCGCATGAATTTGTATTGATAGAAAATCATATCTTGCTAATTTTCATTAAACTTACTATTTTCCTAGTGCTGGTGTCTCTGTATCCTTCATAAATATTGTAACATTGTAAACCAATGATTTAATAAGACTAAAATCTTTTCTGTTCTTTTAAAAAAAAGAGTAGTTTGTGATCTGTTTGTAATAAAATAATTCTGTACGAGACTGGTTTTAGTTTTATTTGTTAGTGGCACACACAACCTGGAGTGCCATAGGCTCACCATGCCTGGATATGTCCACATTATACTAATTAAGAAGTAACATCACATATTTAGAGTATAACAAATTTGGTACATCATATGAGTAGGTTTCAGTGTTGTGGTTAGCACATACCAAAATTGGTACTGTACAGAGGAGAGAAAAACAAACATATACAATACCCATTTGTCTCTGGAATACAGATTATGTGCTCTAACCACTATTGGGCACACATCTACACTAAATCACCATCTACGGTGTCAGAGGCACATTCACACTTATTTTTTCCTTTTGCATCTACTTGTGATACTTATACAGATTTCGAGCTTGCTAATAAGAGCAGCGCACAAGGGACAGAGGGGCTCTAGCAGGTACAAGCAGTACATCGCACTCCACCTTCTGAACACATCAATGTTACTTTTGTACTTAATCAGAATGGCTGCCAAACAATTTACCAAGAACAATACCTTCAAAATACCGACAGTACAAATTGTGCGTTCAATTTTATTAAAATGAATTAGGTTTGTTCCATTTCATTATTACTAAAAAAAACCCTGTCTTAAAAGGTATGTTTAACTTTTAAAATTTGTTACAAAGGATCAGAAACCATCGGGGAGAACAAGGCCAACAGGAAAATAAAATATTTTAATTATTTGATTTTGGAAGCAGTGATTTTGAGGAAGGTGGATGTAAAACTTGATATTGTTCCTTCTGACCTTATTAGCATGAAGTTAGCAGTAAGATGAAGCATTAAGTAATGAACTCTGACTGGGGAAAAGGGATGTAACACAGGATACAGCACCTAAATATCAGTTTATATTTTGACTGGGATACAGAAATACTTAGCTCATGGAATAAGCAACATATGCCAGAATAAATGTTGAACATAGATTCAAGCATGGGGCTATATTTGTTGGCGGCATATTGACTAGAGAAACATTAACATTGGCTTGACTTCAAGGTGTTAACAAACCTACACAATCTGATTTATGCTTATTTTTAAAATATTCCTAACCAGAAATATGCACAAATAAGTTAATACTGGGTGCATTTATACATTTAAAATCTTCCTTATGCTTCCTTTTGACATTTCTGTGGGCCAGGTCAATTCTTGTTGAAACTTAAAAAAATCTCTTCCTATTTAATTAATTGTTCAAGTTTACTATGCATCCCTCTGCCATAAGTTCAGTCATGTAATTCAGGGTTAGCTGACCTTTTGCTAGCTAACATAATCTCTAACTGACTCGGAAACTTGAACATGTCAGTAACTACAATGCCAGAAACAGTCTCAAGATGGCAAGCAAAAGGACAGTTTTAAAATTTCTGAAAATCAGATATTGTTTGTAAGGATCTGCTTTGTTAGATGAATGATGAAATGAATTGGGACATAAACCTTGTATCTAACATAGGCACAGAAAAAGTTACCGCCAGCAAGAAAACCAACACCATCACCTGACACTGTACAGTACGTATACATTCAAGTCAGTCTTTGACAACAAATGAGGGTGCTGGTATTACTGACACATGCACAGTGAGAAGAATGCAGCTCACTTTGCAAACTAAGGCAGCCTATCCACTTCACAGTCTATATACAAATGTGGATAGGTCACATTATCTTTGGTTCTACAACTGCAGCCGGGAGCATGAGCCATACTCCAGATGGCTAATTACACATGTACAATACAATGGAAGATATTTCATAACAATATGTTAATTTGTTACAACATTCAGAAAATTACAAACAAAACGGTAAAAACATTTTAATACTGCATTGAATTATTCATTGTTGATGATAAGTGATTTTAAGGTACCATATATACCTTGACTACTCAACATGTTCTCTTGACACAAATGGCCTCTTAAGTTGAGTGTTGCAGGATGAACATTAATATGAACAGAACTTTCCTGACTTTAACATATACTGTAAGAATACATGAGGTATCAACCAACAACAATTTACGTGTGATGTTCCTCTTACTAATGGCACACTTGACCAGGTGCTACATTCAGAAACATTTAATACTTAAGCTGTTTCCTCAGTTTCTTTAGCATTTTTACACTCAACAAGCATACAAACTTAACAAGAACAAGGGCAAATGAGGGAACTAATCCTACACTTGCAAGTCCGTTCAAATCCAACACGACTAGTGTACACTGAAAATTCCAGTACCATAAACTGCACCCGCCCACTACTATCCATCTGCACTAGCTTACAAGAGCAGCCTTTGATCTTGTAAAGGCGCTTGAGTAGAGTGTCTGCAGCACAGATTTGTGGATAGTTGAACAATAAATTATTGGTCTTGTGGTAGGCGGGTGGTGTAATATCAAGATTTTGGTCCCTCTGAATCCACATGCCGGTCTGTTGCAATTGCCACAAGATTGTTAAATTCTGCATCTAACATTTGTCTCATCTGAAAAAAAAAAAAAAATGGAATTCAAAAATATTTACAGGTAATATTCACTGCCATCAGTAATATTTACTACAGTAAATTGATTGTACCTGAGTGTTTTGTGTAGGGATTTGAAGAGCCAGAGCTAAGCTGTTGCAATCAAAGCTGTCATCTAAAGAAATAAGACCCCCATGAACACCTGACTCCAAGAGGTTGTTAGCATATTCCTAAAATAAAAAATAAGAATACATGTTAAAGTTATGTATGTAAATAATTTTATCCAGTCATTTTAACAACACCATAGAATTACCTTCAGACCAATAGAGCTAACCCAACGAATCACCCTTTCATTCGACCACACAAGTACGTCCCGAACTTCGTTTTCACATAATTTTCTCCTATCCTCTAAAGCCTGCCGGTCGTAATTCAATCTCTTCAAACATGATATGCCAAACTGCAGACTAGTTCTGGAATTAAAGAGAACATATTTTTTCATAGAGACAATAAAAAGGAACATTGCATCATTTCCTTAATGACCTGAAGAAACAAAACAAATCTGTACCTATGAAAACTATCAACCATTTTCAGTTGTCCACGTAAATCTTTTTTGGTTAGATGGTCAAGCATCCTTGCGTCAACAAGACATTCCATAAAAGTGGATCGGTATTGAGTTAAGCCCAATGATGGTAACCAATAGTTTCCAATCCATTCATGGTTCATATCCCCAAAAGCTAAAGTAGTGCGAGAAGTTTTGGGTGCAGACGGACTTGTTAATGATACCATTTCCTGTATTGCTAATCGAAGCTTCAACCTATGTAATGGGTTACTGTAAAAAGAAAATTTAAATAGCAAAGTTAGCAAACTAAGATAAAATGTGAATTTCAAATGAATAGATTGTATAGTACCTTATCCCAATTTCTCGCTGAATCTCTGTGTCACTGAGAGCACTCATGATTGCACCTGATTTGACATTTGCTCTGCAGGCAGCCACATACCAGGCAGGCATGCCCACCCAAAGTTCTAACCATGCAACTATTGTTGGACCATTCCACAGAGCAAAAGGAGTTCCTGCTTTCATGGCTTCAGCAAGAAGTTCATGCCGACATGAAAGAACACTGAGAAAAACAAGCAAAAATGTTAAAATATATAACAATGGAATAGGCAAGAAGTTCACCAACAGAATCAGAGAGAAAAGAAATCATCACATACTTTTTCTTCTTTCTGCGATCAAAATCTGCCTTTTGCCCCATACCACTCAAACTCATGGTATCAGCAGAACTTAGGTCACCATCGCCATAGCTGTCAATAGTTCCATAGGCCATTTCTTTTCCCTTTACCTAAAGAAAATATTTAAACAAATATCGAAAATAGTTATTTGTTTCTTAATACTAATTAAGTATTTACTTGTATCTTTAACATGCATTTCAATAGAGTCCATGAAAGAAAACTTGCCTCTCCCGTTGCTTTCTCTTTCTTACTAAAGAAACGTCCAAGAGAAGACTTGATACCTTTCTTCTTTTGAGCTGCAGCAGCTGCAGCTGCAGCTGATGAAGAAGCAGCTGCATTTACAGTGCCACTTGAAGATGACACCATCATTCCAGACCCATAGCTGCTCTGGTAGCCACCAGCATACATGGATGGTCCTCCAAGAAGATTTCGGTGTAAGGAGTCCTGGCTGCTGTGGCGAGAAGACAGAGGGGATGGGGGTGTGCAGAGACCGCCGGGCCTGTACACCCACATATATCACTACACGCACTACAAAATCACTACAACTACATCCCTAAGGACAGGCACCAAAAACACTTTCTCTAACATTCACTAGAAGAGCACTCATTGCTACCTGCAGACAATTTACTTTAAAAGAGGGGGAACCCAGTGAGAATAATTCGACAAACAAATTAAATAGACATTGTATAAACATACGCCTATTTAAATACGTACAAAGTTGCCATAATTTTGACTTTTGACGTTCAATTGATGTAAAAGTTTCTCACTGGGAAGACAGCTAGCCACAGAAAGTTAAATAATGGTGAGTCACCTAATAGGTCACGTTTTAGGGAAACAGAAGTGAATATGCTGGAGATGTCAAACAGCAAAATCTCAAGCGATATAATCGAAGCCTTGGTATATACAGATATATGCTCATGAGGAACAACACATAGAGAAAAATCTTGCGTGCAACGAAAAGTAAAGCCCTGCGAGGAAAGTCTTAGGAAAATAATACAGGGGAATAGTCTCTCTCACTATATGTAAATGAGAAACCACTATTTTTAAAATGTCTAGACTAAGGGAATTTCAAGTCTAAGTTTTAAACAGAAATCTTGTTAATTGACAATAGGACAATTTTTTTTTCTGTTAAATCCTATAGAGAAAGAAAAACCTAAAATTGTTTTTAAAGACACCTAATTTGATTTCAAAACTATGCTGTATGACTCACTAGTAAAATTGTGAGTCAATATTATAATTATGCAAAACTAAGTACGAATTTGTATTTGATGTATGAAATGGCCAAAAGAATAATTTGTCACACATTCTAACTCAATAACTGTAAATTTGAATATATATCATACTCAACCCATTAAAAAGTATTCCTCAAGCCCGCCACACAGAAACACAATGTGGAAATAAAGGAAACTCTGAAAATGTTGCCAAAATAATTTAGCATGCAGAAGACAACAGATCAACAAACAACCCCCTTTTTGAAATAAATAAATAAATGAGAATCTAGGATTTAACACCTTGAGTCCTTGGTGTCAAACACAGCTTTTAGTGGCCATAAGTGTGGTCACATGGGACTCAATGTGTTAAAAGTATAAATAAATTACAAAGGAAGAATTCAATGAAAAAAGTAGAGTGCTTGTTGAACACATGTCACTAATTTTGAAGTGCTGAGGAGTGCTGCTATCAGCTACTCCCACATGCAATCAATGGTTAAAAGATTGGGGAAGGAGAAAACATGTGAGAGAGTTGAAGAAAGGTCTAGTAACCTTTGGTTGAGGATGGCCCCTGGGCCCGGCATAGCGCTTGCACCAACTCGTCTGTACGGGGAAAAGACAACAGCCCAATCAACAAAAGAAAAAGAACCAAGACTTAAAAAAAAAAATATAGTTAAGATGAACGGGTTTGGAAGAGAAAGAGATTATAGGGGTGAGCACTAAAAAAACACCAATGGAATTTTTTCATTCTCCTCAGATTAATCATTATTTGACAGTAAGAAAAGAGGTACAGAAAAGAAGGGGCCATAAATTTGAATGTGGTAACCTAACTTAGTTGGTTAGCAGATAGATGGAAATGAATACAATTTAAGGTATTTAAACACCACAACTCCGTGTGTGTTTCATTTTAAATGCGAATTGAAAATTCCTAAATTAATTTATTTAAGGAGGTGCGGTGGCACATTTATCCAGAACTTCAAAATTAATCTTGCTGAAATAACATTTGAAATATGTAGCAAATAATTTTAGGGTGAAAGAAATTTACAAACCTGCGTAGCTCTTCTTGACTTTGAGCTAGGGCTTGTGCTACTCTTTCCAGCCGCATTGAACGAGCTGTCAATGGACTTGCAGCTCCACTGCTATCACCTCCAGTAACTGAATGAAGTTCTTCAGACGAAAGATCACCAGGCAACGGACCAAGTTGTAGCTGAAAAATGAAAATTCTATCAGGATTTTTGAGAGAGCTAAGCAAAAGAGAGCATTGTGGAAAGCATTCTAAATTACTCAACACATTATGGTAGCAGAATTGAAACAGAGAGTGAAAGCTTGTGAGTGCAGTAAAAAGGGTGATTTATTATACACCTTTCAATAGGGCCTCAATAGGATCACAAACCTGGCTGCCTGGCAGCGATTCAGGGCTCATAGTGCTGCTGATTGTATATTGATGAAGATGAGCCGGTGACATTGAGGCTGGAGCCTATAACATGCACCATGCTCTTTTTATTTAATGCCCATTTCTGACTTATTGTTTAAGGGGAAGGGAAATGCTACTGATTTGGAATATTTAGATTTTCAAGATTAAGTGATAAATTTTATGAAAAGATCAACTACTCTCATACAGTAATACAGACATCTAGGTCTAGCCACTAAGGTACATGCAAACATGAAAATTTGCAATATACTAGAGAAAACAGGAGAAAATAAATAAATAAAAAATTAAAATTTCATTTAATCGCACCGTGTGATATTTATGAAGATAATCCCGACTTGGAGAATGATGTGATTTGGGAGTCGACCTGCCACTGACAGGGGGTGAAACTCTATCAAAGCTGCGACCACGAGATAAAAGATTCATATGCTCCAGGCTTCCAACACGAGATTCTAGTTCTTCTGCTCTGGCTTCAGTACTTTGCTTTTCTTCCTGAATTAATCTGCAAAGTGAATGAATAATATAACAGTTAGATTTCTTTTTTCATTAATAAATAAATTAATAAGTACAGGGTGAAATTACTAACCGTATCTCGTTATTGATAGCATCCAATTGTTCCTGGAGCATAAGAGCTAGGGTCTGAGCATCTGTGTGGCCAGTGGGGCTCAGAATGTCTGCAGCACTAAAAATGCTTTCATTGTCATCACCCTCAGCATCACTTGTATCAAAGAGCATTTGAGCTTGCTGCAATTTTTCCCAGTCCTAACAGAAAGACACCAAACGATGACCAAGTTAGTGAAAAGAAATCTTCACACTACTGATTTTGAATACCACCAATCAGATACATACTTTAGCAGGATCATCATCCAGTCCAAGTCTACTCTTCTGTCTCCTTGGTAAGGAATGGGTGTCAAAACTTAACTGACTAGAACTACGAACAAAGCTGGCATCAACTGCACTGGGAGACAAGCTCCTAGAAGCAAAATAACAAATTTTTCAATTAGAATCAGATATTAGAGAACACACCAGTTTCACCGACAGATAGGGAAAAAATAACTCTCTCACCTTGTTAATGCTTCAGTTTGTTGAATATTGTACGCTATTTCCTGCTGCAACATTTGCCGCTTCACATTATCATTTTCCATTCTGGCCTTACTTAGCTCCTTAACAATGTTGCCTTTTTCTCCTTGAAGATCTTCCAAGACCTTCCGTAGTTTATCTAGCTCCTGCTGCAGTGCATTCTTTTCTTCCAGAGCATGCATCCGTTCTTTCAAGTGAACTTGCAGACGATCATTTGATTCTTTGAAAGGAAAAAGTAACATGTTTATATTGATTGATTGATAACTGTAAAAATTGTTGTTTGAGTGCAGTATCTAGAACAGATAACAGAAAAACCAAAGTACCTGACAAAAGTTTATCAACAGTAGCAGACAGCCTGGTGTTATGTTCTTCATTGATTTTCAGGCGTTGGTTAAGGCGCAGTACTTCTGCATTCTTTTCATCCAACTGGCCTTCAAGACGTTGAATACGGTCCTCAGCCGAGCCATGCCGCTCCTGCGCCTGCCCACAATGGTAAACTCAACAAAATGCACAGAAAGAAAGGGCAAACTATAATTTTCATGAATTTATTTCCTTTCTTTTTCTTAAAAGAGACTTTCATTGAGAATTTAAACTTACTTTCTTTAATTCATTTTTTTTTTTTAAAGATAATTCTATAGGAAGTAAAAAAAGTACAAGTTGATTGGTGCAAAAGATGATAAGTGTGCATGAATATGAAGCATATCATGGCTTAATAGTAGAAATTGCACAGAAAATTTAAAAAAAAATGGAATGGAAATAAAATTGAATTTTATCAATATTACTATGTATGCAGCCTATGAGGAAATCATGTGACAGCTCATCTATTGGAGAGTCTTGTAATAATAACTTTTGCTAAAAAGGCAATCCAAGGGAAACGTTTTCCTCACAATGGGATCTTTGAGACCAACAGTCCCTTTTTTATGACACTTTAAATGTCTCTGGTGATATTAAAAAAAATCAAAATCATTAGGACCCCATGATGAAAACATTTTCCTTGGAAGTTTGACACTAGGACCCAAAAACAGCATAGTAGTAAAAGACCTAAGCAATGAAACCACTAAGGAAGTCAACAACAAAAAGAGCAAACTTTAATGGAAGAAATAAGAAGAAAAGAAGAACCACATAAAAGTGCAGGTAGGGAGTAAGTGCTATATTCACTTTAAAGCTTAATGAAGCAAAATTAAAATGAAACAAACATAATAAAGATGAAAGTTTAAGTACAGTATCATATGATCTGTATATGAAGGAGATCAAAACAAGTAATTTTGGAAGATAAGAGTTACAATGCAGCATATTAGCTTACCTCAGGGAATTTCCCTTACTGATTGAGCCACAAACGTCTGGCGTCCAAACTAAAATAGATCTACTGAACTAAATTATTACATAGTTAATGATTCTTTTTTTTTCCACTTGAGTTTGATGAAACAAGAAAACTGAACTAAGGGCAACACGTGTTAAAGACACTTCAAGTAATAGGTGAAACTAGGTATGTAATGAAACATTTCAGCCCTAGAAGTGCAATGGTGTTACAGGAACTTCCTAACAGTCAATGATGTGGAGTGATTTATCTTGATGACAATGGAGTGGAATCATTTACTGGCATTCTAAGACATAGCTTACCCATACACACAGGGGCTGAGTTGGTCCCACTAACACCGACATCATGCAGCGGGGGATGACAGCTGTGAAGAAAAAGTCGACCGTACCTGTGCCCTCACCTGGCTCAAGGCCTCCATGCGTTGCTTCAGCTCCTCTTCCATTTCTGGTAGTTTGGCATACTGAGCCAGCTTCTGTTCAGCCAATTCCAGTTTTTCCTGGATGGCACGAATCTTTTCCTCTTGAAGCTGTAGTAGAAAACAATTTCACAAATTAAAATACCACAAAATCATTGAAAAAATAATGCATCTGCAAGATATACACATACCTTTAACTGGGCTTCTTTGTGTTGCAATTCCTGCTCCAGTTTCTCATTAAGATCATGTAACGAAGTAGATTCTCGTTGAGCATTCACATAGCGCTTCTCTAAGGTTGCAATTCGTTCCTCCTACAAAACAAAGATCATGATAAGCGTGACAGTACTCCTCAAATATAATGGAACACCTCTAGTAAAATGAACAAACAACTTACTTGGTCTTCCTTTTGGGCTACATTTTCTCTCAAGTCCCGCTGAAGTTTGGAGTTGCCATCTTGCATTTTCAGGACTTCTTTCTGAGCCTTTGCCAGATTTTCCTCAAGTTCTGCAACCCTCCTTTGCCATTGAGCCAGTTCAGCAGTCTAACAAATTAACAGGAGAAAAAAATAAATTTGGAATCCAAATAAAAGTTAAAAACAAATAAAGCAAAACACAAGGATTATTTGAATGCCAGCATAATTATTTAGCAAAGTTTCAAGCTACAGCTCAGTGCATTAACAAGAACAAAAAAGAAAAGGGGGGGGGGATATAGCAAAGCCTTTACCTGCTTTTGGATTGAACCCTCTCTCTCTGATTCCATCTCTAGTTCAAGACCCCCATTTGAAAGGCGTTGCTGTGAGTGAAAAACAAAGAAGCAATGCGCAACTACCTCAAATATAAGTCATCACAGCAAGGTACTAAACTTGGCAATTACTCCAAAGTCAAACACAACATTTTCACAGAGCTTTCATATTTATGCTGCAATACACTTAATAACAAATAAGTGATTCCAGAGTTAAATATTGATACAATTTTGGAGAAGTAAAAGGACAATGTTGAGACTGATGGATGAGCAAAGTTAACAATTTAGAACTGTTTCAATAATGGCCAAAAAAAGCATACAACAAATAACTACAAGACTACAAGAAAAAGAAAAAAAACAACAGATCATGCAGTATTATGTCTTCCTTTTTTTTTTTTTGCAAAAAAATTACTGAAATTTTTGCAAAACTATTTTCTTGCTTTTAATTTTTTGTAAAATAAATTACTGTGCACAAATGCACAGATTTAAAGATTTGTGCCTCAAAGTTCAAAGCGGCACTGAATTACGGTAATGCTGATCAACTAATTCAATGATTCTAACAATCTAGAATTCTACATAAATTGCAGGGTCTAAAGGAAGTTCTTACCTTGTTAATTTGCTGTTGAAGTTGCTGTTGTTGCTGCTGCTGCTGCTGCTGCTGTTGCAACTGGTCATTCCGTGAATGATCATCTGATTCCTGCTGTCCATTTTCTTTGGGTTTTCCACTGTCTTCAGAAGAAGGAATTCTTCCACCAGTTTTCAACTGCTGAAGCTGTTGAGACAGATTATTCATTAGAAACTATTGTAAATGTAATTTTAAAAAAAAATTGGTAATAAGTTTGAATAAAAATAATTACCTCTTCTTTGACAGCTGTAAGCTCCTCTTCAAGAGTTGAATTACGTTCAAGTGCGACTCGCAACCTTTCTCGAACCTAGAATTTAAAAAAAATTAAGTAACTAAGCAAAATGCCAACGAGTACCCGCTGGTATTGAAACACATTTGAAGTGATTCTTTGTACCTTTTCATCAAGGGCTTTGTGATGTTCAAAAAGGGATTTTAAAGCTTTAAGAACCTCAACTTCACTAGAAACACCACTCTGGGCAGCAGCTTGTCTTTTCACCACTGTCATGCGCAATGATCTCTCATGGCGAGACACTAAACATTCTAGATGTTCTAATAAGAGCTGAAGATAAACAAAACAAAACAAAAAAATTAGTAGCAATAGAAAATAAAAAGTAAACAAATGGGAAGTAACATTGGTCTGTACTATTAAAACTTACCCTGGTGTTATTACGTTCAGCTTTTAATTCTGCAACTTCCTCTTCCCTCTCCAGAAGTTGTTCTCTTGATTGATTTAGTTCCTTAGTCAGTGTTGCAAGCTCCTATAACAACAAAAACACATTCATCAGAATATGAGACACCGAAAGCCTATGCCGAACAGCTTGTCAATCAGTTGATTCCTCTGTCAATCATAGTGTCCCTCCCCTACCCCGACCCGGCCTGGCCCGTGGGCCTGGCCACGCCAGGGGTGCTACAAGTATGCGACGGGGATGCTGTGGCTGAGAGCCGGGCTGCATGAAGGGGGCAGGGGCGCGAGAACGCGTGCGTGAAGGGCGAGCGGGAGTGGGAGCGCGCAGGGCGGGGGGAGCCGCAGTGTAGTACGGTGGGGTGGGTCGATACGGCTGGAGGGCCGGGCCGGGCCTGTAGGCCGGGCCTGTAGGCCGGGCCAGGCAGAGCTATGACCCCGATCCATCACCCACTACTCATCTGCCCAGCTCCCCAGGCCATACCCTGCGCTGCTCGCAGCAGATACACACCACACAAGGACACCACACCAGGTGGGCGGTTCGCGCCGTGCCGCCGCCTCCTAGATATGCTGTACCGCACGCAGGCGCGCGGCCGGGTTGCCTGCACACACGGGGTCCGCGGGCCCGGCGCACGTCAGTCCCATCAAAGTAAGGCCACGAAAGGGAAATGTGCAACGCGCGCTTGCGTTTATCGCTCACCTGGCATTTCCCCGCGACGGAAGAGAGGGGAAATAAAGCATTCAGACCTGTTTCGACCAAAGAGCTCACTCTCTACCAATGAACCACCACGTTAAAAAATCGATAAATCTTTTAGAGGCGATCATGTTTACAGCGGATTGTGGAACACGGTTGGCTTTATGGACCATTCCTCAGCTAACCAGTCTGGGATGCATGACATTCCTGCTGAATAACATATCTCGTTTTACTAGAGCTGCTGCTTAAGCCGGCTTAAGCCTCGTGTACTACCGAATCAACGAGCGCGCGAACATTCTGGGGAGAGGGAGAGGAGAGGGTACTTCCCCCGGGCCCTGCCAGCGTCTTGTCAGACTGCTCTGGGCGTTCCCCGCTCCGCTCCATCGAGATAGTAATAACGGAAAGGGCGTGTCTCTGGCTGGCGCGCGCTGGCTAGCGCTGGCGCGGCACGCCCACCTGAGGTTGACAGTGTCGCAGCTTGTTGCAGTGCAGCCCAATACGGTCCCACACCACACCTCTCACGCCCGCCGAGTCTCGGCGAGTCACCCGAGACGGGGGCCCGGCCGTCCCGTCGCTTCGGCATCTCGCAGTGCCGTGCTATATCGCTTTCTCTTTGGTCACCCAAGTCGCGTCTACTCCTCCGGCGGCTCTCCGCCGCCGCCGCCCCGCCGTCATCTGCTCCCCCGTGCATTGCGCCACTCCTTCCGCCCCGTCCCCTCCACGCCCTTTCACATACACAGCTGCATCCTCTGGCTGCCTCTGGCGTGCTGCCCCCAACCCCCTCTCCGGTGGCACTCATCTCCTTCCTAGCCCGTCGAGTGGGCTGGGAGTGGGAGCCTGGCCCCGGGGCTTACGGCCGCCCAGCGAATATTACCCCCCCCCCCCGGACAGCTGCAGGTGCACAGGTGCTGCACCTGTTGCAGCCGGTGCCGCACCGAGTGGGATGCGAGCACAACGCCCTGCACGGCTGCAAACTCACATGCCGCCACCGTGTGCAAACCCACACGCCACATGCGGGCCGGCCACAGAAGGGAATTACAGATGGGAACAAATGACAGAAATCGGCTGATTCATGGCCCCGCGGGGAACGTGGTACTGCGTTCAGGACATCTGAGGGCCGAGGGAAAGGGGGGGGGGGGATCTCTGTGCACTGAGGCCTGCAGAGTCTCGCCAGGAAGAGCCTCTACTAGAGTGCAGAGAGGCAAACTGCTTACGGGGTTGAGATTTAAGCATAGATTGGAGATTTCTTCATCTCACCCTCAATTGAAGGGGGACTTAGAAATAAACTGGTACAATCCAAACTGCAGACAGAAAATTGGGGGGGGGGGTGTAGAAGAAAGCTTTCATGCATACAAAGGTGTCTGATTCACCCCACCAAATTCTGTTGATAGACGATACAGCATGCACGTGTGCGGAAGGGTTGCCTACTCGATCGGGAGACGCTAGGCAACCCCACAACCACGCCTGCATGCAGTACAGTATAAGTACAAATGATGATGGGACAAATCCTACATACATGGAGCAACATTGGTCTCAAGATAAAAATATCCAAATATCACTCTTACCCCTGAATGCTTTCTTGATAAAAATTAGTATGACAGCCTTCAAGTACTTCAAAAATGTTGTTTCATAAATAATTATAGCAACTTATAATCATTTGGGGAATTCCCATATGGCATTTAAATAAAAACCCACAGCCACAGCACATTTTCAAGTCAAAGTGTGCCCATACACAACCAATAAACATATTAGAGAGATATAATACAGCTCGAGTTGGTTTGATTATTTTGAGCACAGACAATAAACAAAGATACATAGGAAAATAAGTTTCCACCTTAAGGTTTGGAAGGGGAGGAAGGCAAGGAAATATGGAAAGTAAGATATTAATTTAACAGTATTGTATGGGCACAATTAGTCATTTAAAAGAGTACAGCACTGCACAGCAAAATGACCATGGCAGTGGTAAAAGCTGCAGGTTTAACACTGATTACTCATTAATTTTGTCTTAATGACAACAGCGCTTAACCACTTAGATGGTGCTAAAATGAATGGGAGATCTGCACTTAGGTAAATTTGCAGGGCGTCGTTGGCATGTCAGAGTATAGGGCAACAGAAAATTAAGTGTCCTGGTTCAGTTTCCAGTCATGTTGGAGCCGCTGTCACAGATCAGAGTAGTGCAGTACAGTGCACAGGCAGGCCCACAGGGGCACCTAACCCCGACACGGCGCCGAGTGCCGGACGGGGCCTCGAGTTCGGCCGTACCTGAGGCAAGCTGGCCGAGATCTGCCTCTGCAAGGAGTCCCTCTCCTTCTCCACCTGCGCGAGCTTTGCCTCCAGCTCGGCCAGTCGGTCCTGGCCGTCCCGGAGGTTTTCCAGCAGCTTGTCGCGCTCGTCGAGCATCGACACCATAAGCTGCTCGAAGTTGGCATCTTCCCCGGCGAACTGACTCCCCCGCTGGCTGATGGAGTCCTCCGAGATGGTGGGCATCACGTCACACATCATGTTCCACATCGCGGGGCCGTGTTCTAGGGTCAAGCCCTACTCCAGCGATGTACACAAAACTTGACAAGCGGTCTCTTAAGCGCTGCACTCCCCGCTCCCGCCTGCAGCTGGGCTTGCAGCCGTGCTGGGGCCCTGGGCGGCCGGGCGCAGGGCCTCGCACGAGCCGCTATGAGCTAAAGTCAGGCCACCCGAGTTATCACAGCACTCTTTCTTCATTTTTCCAGCAAACGCGTATGAGACACGCCTACTGCGAGGTGCCCCGAGCACGACACTTTTCCTCTCAGGCAGCCATTTTAAACTGTGACGTCAGGCTGACAATCCGGGATCGTAAACCCGGACAAGGCGCTGGACGCGCGCGCGCAGATTGTGCACATTTTTCACAAGGCCGTGATTGATGGATCGACGAGAAGCGGCAAATATGAACTTGTCGGCGAACGAACCACGACACTGGCGCTAGTAGAGATTGTGTTCATTGTGTTGCGCTCTATTCCGAAGATTCCGAAAGTGTACTAATCTTCTTCAAACTGTCACTCTGAAGAGATATAAGGTATGTTCAGCTGGACATTAGGTAAATAAAACATTGCATACTTTTTAAATATCTATAATTTTAAAAAGAAAACACTTATCTAGAGCTACAAGATTTGTGACAATTCAAACAAATCAGCACATTCAAAAAATCAGCACATCTATATCACAGTTATGGCCTTGTTTCCACATTACTTCCACATTTACATTAAACAATAAAGGTAGACATAAGTACTAGAGCAAAGTATCCAATGCCTTTCCTGAATGGGCATAGCAAATTTAGACAACAGAATAAGGTCTAGCCAATAAGAAATGCTCACAGCTCAAACACAAATGAGGTAGGTGCAAAATGTACTAATTTACATAAGCTAACCAGTCTTCTTTTCTATCACTAGATTTTCTGTCCTATATAAATTGCCGACCATCACCTGCAAATTGACAAGCAAAAGTACACATTTATTAAAGATACACAACAAGAAAGGTTATATATAAGAACATGAACCACATGGCCAGCAGCCTTTTACATGTTACAACTGTGAAACTAAGATAAACATACCTGTCGTTTAATGACATCCAGGTTTTCTTTCCCGAATGTTAGAAAAGCCTCAATTTTCTTTGGATCGGTCTCACATTTGTGTTCTCGGAAATCGTCTTTCACCTTGCGAAGAGCATACATTCTGTCGATGAGACATTTTATTAGTAACACTTCACAATATTTAGCGGAATGAAGGTTTTTATAATAGTGGTGCAATGTTTAGGGACAAAAAGTACAGCAATCGGCAGATTACTTATATCATACAAGAGCATTAATTTTCTTTTGAATATTTTCAGGAAACGTAAAGGAGATCGGAGATCATTGGGAAGGTAGAAAAGAAGTATAAAATGTCTTGTGTGCATGACAAGCAACGAGGTTATGATATCACTTTTATACAATCGGAGGACTATGCCATAAAACTATGACAGTCACTGTAAAATTCATCCGTGTATCACCTGAAATTGTAGCTCGAAAACTTGCTCCCTTCCCGTAAAAGCGATTTGTAGAGCCTTAAGACTTCGTTTCTAAGTGAGGCCATTCCGACAGCTGAAGCAGCTATTCAATAGCTGACGTTATGAGGTCTTTTCTCTTTTCTTTCTTACTACTTGTGTTCCTCTTTGATCGTGTATCGTCACTACCCTTTAGTGTCTGGTGAGTGCGTGTTTGGCCTCATATCAAACACGCATCCACTGGGTATCGATTCACTAGGTCCTCTTTGCAATGTGTAAGGTCAATCAAATAATAAGGATGTTGTGAGCCAGAGATAATATTTATTCACCGAGAGTAGCAGTCGGCAAAACACAAACTCTTATTACCAAATCCCTAAGTACAATTATCACTTGATTACAATTGCTTTGCTGATTGTATCGATATATCGAAACCCTATTTAGTTGTAGATCAACTTACTGTGAATGGGGTTCAGTTGGCAGAACAAGGGCACCAACACTGACACAATCACTGATACACAAAGGGTTAGGCAGAGCAGAGAGCAAGTGCTCTGGCAGGGAGATGGATCGCTACTGAGGAGGAGTTCTGCTGAGCAAAACTCAGCAAGGCCCGGTAGGACCATGCAAAAACCAAAAAGGTAAAGAAGGGAAAACCATGGGCCGGGCCATTGCGAGCCAAAGGCTGCTGTATTCACAAGAGCCCAGCACCAAGTGAGGTGTGGAGAGGGGGGAAAAGATTTTGAGTGAAGGGGTATCGGCACAGCGTAGGGAGTATTGACACAGCGTCAAGAGTATCGGCACAACGCTGAAGCTGGCCGACAGCTGCAGAGCAGCTGCAGCCGACACCCCTCCCCCTCCCTCCCTCTGCCTCCCTCTTTTTCAATGATCCTTATTCGCAGTATAGCCCCGTAACTATTGGTCGACGTGTAAATAGTTACTTTTCCGACCTGTAACGCTATAACTTCCTGCAGGTATATAGAACGCCTGAACTGGGCAATGTTCATAGGTCGTCGTTAGAGTTGAACACGACCAAACGTTGCACAGCTGCAGCTGCCGGTTAACACGAGAACCATCGTATCGAACAATCTCCGAAAATGGCAATGCAAGTCGCTCTTGGTGTTTGTCGGGTCAACCCCAGCCCATTGATGACGATAAAAAATGGTGAGTACCGGTTGGAAAGGTTCAGGGAGGTAAAAGATGTACGTGAGCGCCGATCTGTCAGCTTGTCTCGAAATCACTATGATTGCCCACCTGTATTATTTGCTTCTGAAACCAATGTCGCCTCGGAATATCTTCTCTTATTTGCCAAACTTGTTTGGTATGAATAGGCTTAGTTTGACTTTGTAGCTTTCTACTAATGTGTTCTACTGGATAAGGTACCTCTATCATGTCCTTGTCTGATACCTTCATTTAGTGTCACATGCTGTTTTGTGTCATACTCTTTACTTTGCTTCTTTAAATGAATTTGTTCCGTTGCCATCATTGAAATATGCTTAGATCATGATGCCAATCGTCATGCTTATTATTTCTATTATGGACTTTGCTCTGTACTTATTAGTACAGTACTTAACAGGATTTGATAAACATTCTGCTGACTGATTTGATTATTATTTGACACTTACCCCCGTGCCCTCTTTTACAGTGTCTGTTCGCTGTCTTGCTACACAAGCTGCACCTAAATCAAAGAGCGTGCAGGATAAAACCGGGAAGAACATTGTATTTGTTGATGGCGTTCGCACTCCTTTCCTTCCCTCTGGAACAGACTATCAGAAGTTGATGCCTCATGAACTGGCGCGTCATGCTCTACTGTATGAATCTTTTCTTCCGTCTTAATATTATTCACTGTACCAAAAATACTAAATGTGCTATTTGATTTTCTAGCAACCTATCCCGCCGCACTGGTATTCCAAGAGAGGCAGTCCAGTATATTGTCTATGGCACTGTTATCCAGGAAGTTAAGACTAGTAACGTAGCTAGAGACTCAGCTTTGTGTGCCGGTTTCAGCGAGCGAATTCCTGCTCACACAGTCACTCATGCATGCTTGAGCTCCTGTCAAGCAATTACCTCAGGTTAGTCAGTCTTTGCTCATGCCCATTGAATTTTAATTTTTGATCCTTACAATTACTGTACCTTTTTAAATTTTAGGTATTGGTCTGATTGCATCTGGAGCCTATGATGTTGTTGTTGCTGGAGGAGTGGAAACCATGTCAGATGTGCCAATTCGTCTCAATCGCAACTTGAGGAGCATACTTTTAAAAATGAACAAAGCTAAGACTCCTTTGGCTAAACTCAAACTCCTAGCTTCGTTCTCACCCAAATATCTTGCTCCTGAGGTATACATATTTGATTTTTATTTCATTAACATTGTTTTATCTTCCAATTACTTATTAATTATCTTATTGTGAATTTGAAGCTACCTGCTGTGGCAGAGTTTACTTCCGGTGAAACCATGGGTAAATCTGCAGATCGTATTTCGGCTGCTTTCCAAGTTTCCAGGCAGGAACAAGATGATTATGCTAGGAGGTCTCACCAGCTGGCGCATGAAGCTCATGAAAAAGGATACCTTACTGATATTGTACCATACCCAAGTAAGAAGCTCAACTCCCAGATGTTTGATTTGAGACCAACTGTCAACCATTGCTAATTTTCTATCTATCTTGCAGTTCCTGGCTCTTCAAAAGTGATTAGCCGAGATGGCGGAGTCCGCGTTTCGACTCAAGACCAGTTGGCAAAGCTGAAGCCTGCATTTATTAAACCTCATGGAACTGTTACTGCTGCTAATGCCTCATTTTTGGTAAATTTATAATCAATTATCATCCCAGGGTTTTAATTAAATAAATTTTACTTTTAACCTATTTCTTTCTCTCTTAAGACTGATGGCGCGTCTGCTTCTATCATCATGCCTGAGAAGAAAGCCAAGGAAATGGGTGTGAAGCCAAAGGCATACCTAAGAGATTACATCTATGTTTCTCAAGACCCAGTACATCAGCTTCTTCTTGGGTTGGTGTTTGTAACAATAATAAACCTAATCTCTTTGAAATTGAAGTTAATTGTCATGTTTTCTTTTTAGACCTGCATATGCTATTCCAGAGGTACTTGCACGAGCTGGTCTTACTATGCAAGATATTGATGTGTGGGAAATTCATGAAGCTTTTGCTGTGAGTACTTTCGAACAGACTTGAAGAGATGAAGATGAAGACACATTATAACAAATGCGTTACAATTTAAATTGTTTTTTACAGGGCCAAATTTTGGCCAATCTGAAAGCAATGGATTCCGACTGGTTTGCCAAAACTCATATGAATCGTTCTGAGAAAGTAGGTGTTCCCGATTTGGCTAAATGGAACAACTGGGGTGGATCATTAAGTATTGGACATCCATTTGCTGCTACTGGTATGTACTTACTCGTTAAGCACTCACATACCTCTTTTAAATGAGAAGCCTGTAAATATCTTTGTTTTGTTCCCTAACAGGAGTGAGGCTTGTCTCACATGCTGCTAACAGACTCATTAAAGAGGGTGGTAGATATGCTTTGGTAGCTGCTTGTGCTGCTGGCGGCCAGGTAAATTACATGCTTGTTTTTTTTTTGTTTTTTTTTGTCTTGCCATTTAATGGACTCAACACTGATTTAGCATTTCTTCTTTTAGGGAGTTGGAATGATTATTGAAAGACATCCGGATGCGTGAAGAAATGGCAAGTAAAAGACTTCAACAACGGTTTTTAAGTATTCATATTCATCTTTTAAATATTGTTTGTTTTCTTTTACAAAACTTAAGGTAATCCTAAGATGGACTTTGACTGTTAATGCTATGAGTTGAACATCAATTTTCTTTTGTATACTTTTTTCCCCTCTGTCTTTTCTATACTTTGATTTTTAATCGGCTTCTCAAGTCTTCTGTATTTTTGTACAACTTGAATGTGTATTATTGTTTTATTGTAGATTTAAGACATTTATGTGCTGTTCACCTTCATAGCTATATTTTTTTATGACAGTTATAATAAATTATAAATAAAAACATTTGTCCCTTCTTACTGATTTGATTTTATTCAACCCTGAATTCCTTTCTGATAGAGGAACTTTACATTTTATAAACAGCTAATAACTTTTACTTGCAGACAAACATACCCTTACATCTCATACAGACTACAGTTGCTGAGATTTTTCCTGCCAAACACACCAAATATCACAGATAGAAAACAGTCTTTTAAAACAGTTGTAAATAAATGCAGTAATGAATTGTTAAATCTAAACAACTCCATTTGAGGAGCCACCATATTTTTGTAAGTAATGTGTAACAAATCTCTGACTAGACCAACAAGCAATTAAAAGAAGTCCTACACACATGACAAAAGATGAATGATACATTGATGCTGCTGTAAGATTTGACTTGGTGTTATTCTTGTTTAACCATGTCCACTGAAGGCAAATGCATGTCAAGATATTCATAGGTAACCTGCAAAACATAAATATGAACATAGATAAAACTATCTTAATGGTAGATAAATTCAGGAACTGTTAAGATATGGAAAGGAATAATTTACCTGAACCAAGACACAACACTTGCTCGTATGTCTTCCGGAACAGTACGGCCGGCTAGGTAACCCCAAGCAGGATAATACATTCCCACTGATACCTCAAAAACTAGAAATGCCACGTAACAAATTTGTGTCATTATTTGTGAAGTGTCTAAAGCTGTGAGGATAGCAACTACTGTCATTGAGACTGTCGCCATTTTCATTGCTAAACTTAACATATTTTCTGGGGATGTTAGCTCACTCGACATTATTGAGGAGTAAATAATTGACCCTAGCATAATGCTCAACATGAAGGCAGCAAATACAAGTCCTAAGGAAAAATTCAGAGGTAGTAGGATAGGTGACCACGCAATTACAAAAGTGTAAACTGCTGATTCGTAGAACATCTGGATTATCCCCAGCTAAACATAGAAACAGAAATTAATAGGATTAAAATCATGCATAAAGAAACTGCTTGCAAGACATTGAAATAAAGGACTTACATGAAGCAAAGTTTTTTCTTTTGGAGAAAAAATTAAATGTATTGATTTACAGGTAGTGTGTCTAAATGTAAAGGATTTTGTAGAGTCCAGTCCACAGTTTTCTTCCCAGCACACAGAGGTCACCATGCAAGCAGTGAGGAGAATTGGAATAGCAATCATGAAAGGAGCTAGAGGGCCCCAGCCACACAAGTCTGCCGCAATGCTAGACACAAAGCCAGCTACAACAGCCAACAGACCATTGTAAAAAGTGGCTTTGGCAAAGGTGTCATTCATCCATTCAGGAGGAAGCTGGAGATGTTGAATATGCTCGTGGATGTACCAAGCATTGAAAGCAGAAAATAAAATTGATGTGGCTATACCACTCAAAAATCGACTCAATAGGAGAATCCAAATAGACCGGAATGCCTGGAAACAAAATGAACTCAAGGTGATAGCAACCAAATAAATTACCACATCACACAAAAGAAAAAGAGAAAAACTGATACCTTTGTAAAACAGCAGAAAGCATACAATAGACAAAACAGGATACATAATTTCTTTCGACCGTACCGATCTGCCAAATGACCAACAACAGATCCAAAGAGAGAGCTAGACAAGAAACCGGCTAAAAATAGCTTTGATATCACAGAGTCATCAAAGTTATACTCATGATAAAGACGATATACATAAGGGCCTTGCAACCAGTCAGAAAATGTTGCAAGCAAATAAACAAATAGGTATTTCTGTTGTAACTTTTTAAATACAGCAATTTTTTCAATATCATTCCAATGCTCTTGAATTTTTTTATCATTATTTCTGTTTTTTAAAAACAATATAAATGTTGCAGTTGCAAGAGCCACAATAGTTGAGTACTCGAGGAACATTTTTGCTAGTTACAATCAAGACCCATCTACCACAGTGCATGAATTAACAACTAAACACGTCACTGACAATAAGATCAAAATTTTTAAGTAAAGTAAAAGACACATATGATTGAATAAAATGCATTCAACACTTCCTCACCACCAAATAAAATTGAAAAAGTATTAAAAACAAGTAAACATGAGGGTTAGAATGACAATTTGGTACACAAAAAATCCTTAAAATATGTAAAATGTGATTTAATAAACGATTATGAAATATTATAAAATAGTGTCACTTTGTATGTTAGGCAGAATCAAAGTATATCAATAAGAAATCAATCAAAAAATGTGAATAAACCCTATATTCCATGCATCCCACCATGATCCCACCCCCTTTCTCCTTTAGCAGACACGCCACGCCTCCTTATTTGTTTGTGGTTGTATGAAAAAGTGTACTGCGGTAAAGAGTTAAGATGATTTCAGGTAGTTAATATATTCCTTGTAAATTGTAACGCAATGCAATAAAATGCTTCCTCTTTCAAAGAATGATCGCAAAAATGAAGAATACACATGATAGAATGCTTTAAAAAATAAAATGTTTAAAAACTTTTTCTGTGAAGTGTTGGCTGTGCCGTGATAGTGCTTTGAGTGTGTCCGAATTCAGCCACCGACCGAGCACCGACCGGTCGGTCGTCGGGCGGTCGGTGGCCGGGCCGTGGCGAGCCACTCGCTCCAAGCAGCTATGCCACCCTGTCCACATTGGGTTAACCGCGAACCGCGAAATCCTTTCGCGGGGGATGATCGTAGGGCGCGGGTCTTACGCGGGGGATCGTCGCGGGTCCTCCGCGGGTCCTCCGCGGGGGTAGTCGCGATCCGCAACCATCCCCAGCGAAAGGACTTCGTGGTTCGCGGTTGGCATAGCTGCTTGGAGCGGCTCGCGACCGGCCGCTCGACGACCGACCGCTCGACCACCGACCGGTCGGTGCTCGGTCGGTGGCTGAATTCGGACACACTCTTTGAGTCAGCTGTCACCTGTCATCGCAAATCGCAACAAAAACACGTTATTTCCGTGATTTTGGACGTTTTTCATTGTCACCTGAAATACTTCGGGTTATTGGTGCGCTTTTGTCACTTCGTAAAAAAAGGTCACAATGTTAAGACCTAAAGCCTTAACACAAGTTCTCAGTCAGGCAAATACTAATGGTGTTGAGAATACTTTGTAAGTTCATAACCTTTACCCCACCCGAAAAGTAGTACAAAATGATGACTGTAGTCCTAAAACTATAATATCGACTGGTTTTGCTTCTCTATTTCCAGATTACTGAACCATGAAGGTGCTCTCTTGGCTTTTAGTGGATATGGAGATCATGATGCTAGGGTAATTGCAGCTATTTGCAGCAATATTTGGTCAGCCTACGAAAAGAATGGAAGAAACGCCTTCAAAGAAGATCGGCTACGGCTAGTGTTAATGGAATGCATGGTAAGTTCACGTCTCAAGACAAGACTACTCTTACTTTATCTACAGCCATATCATTAGTAAAGTAATATGATGGTTTTGTATTTTCAGGATGGCAAAGTTGCTATTACACAAGTGGCAAGTTTGCTTCTATGTCTGTATGCCAAGGAGAGTGTTGGTTTTGGATTACTGAAAGAAAAAGCACAAGCTCTTGCTACATATCTAGAAGAACCTCTTAAACAAGTGGCAACATCATGATATTTTTAAAAATATTTAAATTATAAGTCAGATTCAATTTTATACAAGAAATATTTAGAATGGCTGTTATCCCTCTGTGTTGATGAATAAAAATTATAAATTTTGTAGAATGTTTTGATTTTATAACTTGCGTCTTATTGACTTCTGATTCTGATGTCTATGTAGAGCGAGCAACCTTGCATGCATGAAAGCAAAAGCTCTATAACATTAGCAGAACCTGAGGAAGGTACAAGGGGAAGGAGCAAGATTCTCACTAGGATCATGCAGGAGAGAGAGTATAAATATTCACATTTTTATCAAAATACTTCGACGGCTGCGCCAACTGCATATGTCAATCAATGAAAACCAATCAAATAACTAAAAAGAACATAGCAATATTCGGTAGCACAAGTTTGGCCAGCTTGACAGAAGCTTGAGAAAAGACAGAAAGATTCAAATCGTCCTCGAATACCGCGCTCGAGTTCGGAAGGTTCGTCACTGTTTCCTGTGACGTCACTTCAGGAATCTGTCAGTGCTTTGCTTCTGCTGCTCCCTCCCCCCCGCGCAGCAAGTGCAAGGCCGGGGGGTTTGGATTGGATGTGTGTACGCGAAGAAATGTTAACCATGACCATGTCAATTGAGTTTTAAGTGCTCCGTACGAACCAATAATTGAACTATCTTTATTCTATAGAAACGTCTAAAAGTGCAGTTCAACTTCGCCACCAGTAGCTCACCGACCAACCTCGTATAGTTAAAGTTACTAGTAACTTTCTTCTGCTAAGTGAGGTTGGACGTCGAACGACCTTTGAAAATAAAGTAGATAAAAATAAATATGACTTAACTTCAAGAGGCTGCAGTACAAAGGGGTTGATATATTTGAATCGATGTCAGACTGCCATATCAAAGAATGGATGAAGTAGCGTTTCACCTTAATCAAAGACTGGAATTTATTCAGGTAAAACAATCCTTGATCTGTTTGTCATAGAATATTTCTTTTGAAACCAAATAACATTTCAAAGTGTTGCATTGAATAGAATAAGAGTTTTTTCAAGGTCATTTAAAGAAGGAAATGTGTGCCCAACTATTTATTACTTGATATGTAATAGTCTATGTAAATAGGACTGCATGAATGCAAGAGTCTATGCGTGCTACAAGGTTTTCTTTTACAACTTTTTCTATCACTTGAAATATGTGTATGACAAGCTGTTAACTTTACTTACTATAAACGATGATCAGGCTACCCTTGTTTTGGTTTTATTATTAGCTCTTCTATTCTTATAATGCTTCCTGTTGATGTTTACACATATATTACAGGTCCAGTTATTATCTGCGATCCAGCATGGGAACATGGCTTTCCAAAGTCGGTTACATGAATTACACAACCTAGCTCTAGTAGCAATTGAAAGTAATCAAGTCACAGCAGTTCGTCAAACATTTAACTCAGTTTGGGAAAAGTTTGTCCATCTTATTCGGGAAGTGAGATCATCCTTGCCTCAATCTGCAAATCCAGTTGTTTTATATGATGAGTTTATGCTGATGCTAGGGAATGAGTGTAAGTTTATTTAATTTTTTATCTTATAAACATAATAAGCTTATCCATTAGATGTTTAAACATTATTTTGTTTTTTAATGCAGTAAACAGACGAAATTTCTACACTGGTTGTGTGGGATTTGCCCTTGGTGGCATGATTGGTTTAGTGGTGGGTATGTCCCTTCACTCAACCCCAACACCTAGTCAGAGAATCAGAGGAGTTGTGTGTATTGATTACAGAGGACTGGATGTAAGTCTATATCAATTTTAATTTGATAAATTAAGTGTCTGTGTCCACTTTTCCTGTGAGTTCTTTCTCCAACCTATTTTCAGGCCGTCTCAACTAGTGATGATGTTCCCATGCCAGTTGTGACTGCTCCTGACCAATTGCTAATTGAAGTTCGTGCTGCTTCACTTGATTACCTGGACATTAAAATCTGTTCTGGTTATGGGCGAGTTTTACGCAGACAGCTGCATAAGTATACTCCTGTAAGTGTTATTAAATCATGTGATGATAATTAAATCATGTAATTAAGTGCCTACCATAGAGAGCAAAAGTATGTAGGAAGTATAATCCATGTACTTTATACAGCTTTGTTTGTCAATTTCTGCAGAGTTCTCCTAAAGATTTGCCCTTTGTTCTCGGAAGAGATTGCTCAGGTGTAGTAGTTGACATTGGACATGATGTGAAAAATTTTGAGGTAGATCCTATGTAATATGTAATACCCAATATTAGACGTTCTGCCTAAATAGAATATGTGTATTCTAAAGGTTGATTTATTTGTAATTGCAGATTGGTGATGAGGTATGGCTTGCAGTCCCATACTGGGCTTCAGGAACTTTAGCTCAGTATGTGGTAGCAAGAGAACGTCAAGTTGCCAGAAAACCAAGAGGAATTGGGTTTGAGGGAGCTGCAGCTTTACCATTTTCTGGCTCAGTAGCATGGGATGCCATGGTAAATCAGGCTAAATTAAATAGTCACAACACTCGAGGAAAGAGGTAAGACTTTCTTTTCAGAATTCATTCATTAATTAATTTTTCATTTCATTTCATTTTTTCCTCAGAATTCACTTAACTTTTATTTCCAATCATTAAGACCTATGTTTCAAATCACATCAGTGTACTCTTATCTGAGGAGGTTGTTCCCTTTTTTTACAACAAAACATCTTTAATATATGTTTTCTTTTTTTTCTGTTATCAGGGTTCTTGTTCATTGTGGAAGCAGTCCAGTTGGCTGTGTCGTGACTCAGTTAGCAAGACTCTGGGGAGCAAATGTTACTGTTACATGTCCAGCGAGAGCACTAACTGTGTGTAATGCTCTTGGGGCAGATGATACTATAGTATTTGAGGAAGGTCCAGTGGACAAACAACTTGCAACACGGAAAAGGTTTTGGACTATCACCTATTCACATTTCATCATCATTATGCATTAATAAAATGTCTGTCTATTTTTTCTAGGTTTGATGTGGTTTTTAACACATTAGGCGCTGTTGTACATGAATCATGCCTCAGGTTTTGTAATGACGATGGCATTGTTGTTACAACTGTTGCCACGCGAATTGCCTCAGACTCGTATGGTTTCATACTAGGAGCTTTGTATGCTCTCTGGGTTAAAGTTCAATGTCTAGTTTTGAAGGTAAAGATGCATGGGACATGTAATTTAATTGCTTAAAAAATATGCAGGTCCATTTAATACTTTAATTTTCTTAGCAGGAGAGAGTGGCTTGGGGTGCAGTTCATCTTAATAGTGATACCCTGAATGAACTGGCAAGGCTAGTGGACAATGGACAACTCCAACCTGTTGTGGACAAAATTTTTTCTCCTCGAGATGTAGAGCTGGCGTTCCAACATACAGACTCTGCCCAGGCTATCGGAAAGACAGTTATTCGTTTCAGGTACATATTTACCCAATTTTAACAAGTGTGTGTGTGTGTGTGTGCAATATTCTAAATTCTATAATTCCTTTTTGATGTGGACTTTAAAATTCCAAGAATATTATTGCTTATTGATCACTTTCACTGTCTGTTTTCCGAGTGTTTAACAACGTGTGTATTTGGTATGTTTATTGTTAAGCTTTTGTGCTTGCAGCTCTCGCTTCAGATGACATGGACTTTGGGGCAGGATCGGTGGGACTCCTTACAGATCTGCCCCAGCACCTTATTCTTAAAGCAGTCCTTTCGTGTTTGTCCTAGTATGTGTCCCATAAATTGCATGGTATTACTGTGATTCACTACTGATCATCATTAATTTAACACTGTAACTTACTGAAATGTTAACTTCTAACTATTTATTTTTTTAAGTTTTTAAAGTTGTCTTATTAATTTGTTTCAGTGGCTTTGGGTACATTGATGATGACAACCAGTCTACCCGCTCTCGATCTTCAGTCAGATCTTCAAAGCCTGACATTCTCTCGTAACTGATTCCTACAACATATCCACAAGCAGTGTTGCTTGAAGGACTATCATCTGTATCTCTATACATACTCAGATTACTCTTATGCTAATTGATGTTTGGATTTGTGTGTCCTACCATCATTTCTGAAGCTGTAGGATCTGCCTCAGATTTACTGCTGGCAAGCTAAAGCATGCAAGAGTTGAGTGAGCAAGTAGTCCTATTACGGGTGTAGTTTATCATATACAAGATGTTGTTTCCATTACTTGATCAGTTATGTAGGTAGTTATAAGAAATTGGCCAGCCAAGATAAACTGCCTTCTTTACATGCTCTGGCACTGAAATCAATCAATTTCATCGCTGTCAGCCACTATATTCAAGAAATGACGAGAGATTGCTCTAGTCATTTATGGATCTCTCTATCCTCTTTTGTCATGACGACTAAACACATAAGAGAATTTATTCTTTTCTCTTTGTTTGAGTGAGTGTATAATGAAACTGAAATTATGCTTGAAATATCAAAATAATGTTGAGAATTTTGTTGAACTGGTACTTATATCTGATTTTTTTCAGTTTGGTTCATTAGTCACCTACTTTGAGTATACTTGTACTTCGTAAGCACTATCCTAGAAAATTGTCAGTTCCTCTCCTTCAAATCTAGTTTGACTGTAGACTGCCTTGTTCATTCATCAACAAAACTGAAGATAGATCTTAGAAGAAATTGTACATAAAATTTTATTTTGAAATATGAACTAAATAATGATGATTGAATAGCTTTATTTCAAATAATGATGACAATAAGAAGCAACAGCATCCTCCTTTTTTTCTGCTGACCTCATCGCACGATGGACCCTTTTGCCAGACCGAGCCGAGGGGAGGGTATGCATGATCGACTTTAGACGGAGGCCGATAAGGCTTTGCTCTCGGTGCTCTCGGCGTACTTTGGGCCGAGTCATCCATGCGGCAAACAACGATGACGGCGGAGGTAAGTGTAATGCCTGGGCTTGCCCACCGGAAGACTCGGTGCTGCGAAACAAAACAACAAACCCTTGAAAACTTTTGAGAAAGTGGAGAACCCATGTATCAAAAATTGCATCATGACTGCCTTATATGCCCAATCTAAAATGTGCTTGTATTGTGCACAAATTGCTTGAAACGCCTCTAAGGCGTCAAAAATTCGCATATAATGCATATAATGCAGTCATGATGCAGTTCTGCTAACGGGGAAGCGCATAGAGTCCATCCTAATTCTTAACCTTGCGGAGTACGGAAGAGGGAATGCCCGTGCGAGAGCGCGGGGGGCGACGTTTCCGGAGCGGCCCTCTGGTAAATAGCTTGTGTGATCCTCGGGAAATTGTCAGACGCGGAACCACCCGACTCGGACGGACCTTCCCCCTTCACGACATGCCGCACCCCGCGCACCGCTCCGCTCCGGGGAGATAACAGACGGGAAAGACAACAAACTTGTCGGTGAGTGGCGCGGGCCGGGGCCCGGTCGGGGAGGAGAAAGGGGAAGGGGCCGGCCGGAGGGGAGGGGCGGGGCGTCAAGGTACGAATAGAGTGGGAGTAAACACTCAGCTGACTGGATCCAGGCGGGCGGCGGGGGCCAGTCCGAGACGCGACACGCTGGAGTTGCAGTCGTGGTCGACGTTGTGGTGTTCGCGGACCCCGACCAGTAAACACGACGGCCACCCGACGGACGCCGCTGGCCGGCCGCGCGCGCCGCGCACCTCATCGCCCCGCCGCCGCCGCCGCCCGCGGGCCGGACGCGACCCGCGAGAACTGGAGCGGAATGCGAATCGCGCTCCTCCAGCCAGAGTCGGGCGCCGTGCCGTCACACCGACAGGACCGACAGGCGGGCCGGGCGCCGCTGCTTCGAGCCGTTCGAGCCACCTGTTGTTGACTCCGCGGCCGCTTCAGGACCCTCCAGGAGGACGGGTCGACCTCGCCGGCCTCGCCGCAACCTCGCGCCCGGTCTGCGCGCCGCGCGCCGCCACCGCCGCCGCCTACACCACCCCGACGACGCCGGACCGAGACTAAATATTTTACGAAGAGCCTTTGATTGCCGTGACGCCCGTGACTGAGAGGATATTGCATCGCCGCCCGACGGATAACTAACTCGTTATTGGACCAGACCGGCCGAGACAGAGGTAAGTGTACCGAGTGCGGGGAAGGGCCGAGTTTCTCGTCGGTTCTTACTACACTACACACATACGCCCGCCCCC